AATGTTCCAGAAGTCACTGAGACTCAATGACATTTTATTAGGCTTTTCTCTGTATTTCAGTTCAGATATATTCTACTAGTATTTCCATTTCTTAAACTCTCTGCTCTTCTTTTCTCCTCTCCTCTCTTCTTCTTGTTATGCTTGTTCTCCTTTACTAGAGTTCTTAAATATAAGTTATAAAAGCTGTTTTGACATGCTTGACTGCTAATTACATTGTCTCTGACATTGTTTTTAAATGTAGCTTTTTGTATTATTCAGATATTTCAAGACCAACAGATGAGGAGACAATTGGAATTGAAAAGGTAGATTATTATACTCAGAGATCCCAAGAGGAGGTGAAGCCAGGATTTGTCTGGAGGCAGAAGGAGCAAGGGGAAAATGTGGGCAATAACTTTTATTGTGGTTTTCATGGGAAGGAATGGAAGAGGCTGTATAAACAGATTTAAAATTGGCTAGCTTGAATAATTCCACAGTGCTACAAAACATCAGTTATCCCTAGTTACCTGGTACTTGACCTGGGGTGGTTAAGGCAGAGGAACAGTGGCCCTAAATGACAGAGACCTGTGAATACCTGGTTAAAAAGACAGTTGGAGTATTGCCTGTGGATTGGTTATTTTGCATATGAAAGGCATGCTTACAGAGAGTACTGTACTACTCTGTACCACTGTACTACTTTAGGAATTGGCCAACTCTGGGAGGGGCAGTCCCTCAGACTCAGCAAGGCCTCAAGAGGGCAAAGCATCAAATACAGAAGCTAGAAAATGTAGTTATTACCGGATCTTTTTATTTACTTATTTATTTTTTGAGACAGTATCACTCTGTTGCCCACACTGGAGTGCAGTGACACAGTCTCGGCTCACTGCAACCTCCGCCTCCTAGGTTCAAGCTCTTCTGCCTCAGCCTCTGGAGTAATTGAGATTACAGGTGCCTACCACCATGCCAGGCTAATTTTTGTATTTTTAGTAGAGACGAGGTTTCACCATGTTGGCCAGGCAGTTCTTGAATTCTTGACCTCAAATAATCCACCTGCCTTGGCCTCCCAAAGTGCTGGGATTACAGGCATGATCACCTGTGCCCAGCTACAAGATCTTTATGTCTGTTTATACTGATTGATTTTTCTCTTTGTTATGAATAACATACCCTTGCTTCTAAGAATGTTTACTATTTTTTGATTGGATCAAGTGAAATTGTTGAGTGTCTGGATTCTGCTGTGATTCTTTACAGAGTATAAAGTTGGTGTTGGTATGCAGTTAAGTTACTTTCAGATGAGTTCGATCACCTTGATGTATATTTTTAAGTTTTGCTAAAGTGGATCCAGAAGAGATTCACTCCAATGATATTTCAGCCCTCCTACTAAGGTACAAATTTAGTTTTCCTTATGGAATTATTTTTGTCTTATTATTATTGAATATCATGAATGCTTATAATGTACCAAGAAGTGCACTAAAATGTGCAACAGAACATGAAAAAGGTACAGCCTATATCATTTTCTCATAAAACTGTTAAGTGGAGTTAGGCATATAAATAAACTAAATATGTGAGCAACAGTGGTGTATGAAAAGTGAGATACTGTACAAAGTTTTGACCAATAATAAAATATGTAGAAGCAAAAATATTTAAATTACACTGTATTCAGTAAGGTAGGCCCTGAAAAAGTCTGTTAGGGCTTCATAAAAGTGTACATGCTTTAGCATTTGAGCATCTATTGTGTACTGCTAGCCTAGCATTGTGCTAAGTTGTAGAGATACATTGGTAAAGAAAACACATCCCTGGCTACAAGGAGCTTATCATCTTCTGAGGTACAAAGACAAACCAATAGTGCTACTAGAAGAATAAGTTGTTTGTGTTGTGAAATTGTGTAAATGTAAGTCAGTCATTAGGCACTAGGGAGACCTTCTAAGATGAAGCTATATAAACTAAAAACAAATGATTATTAGAATTTTGCCTGACAAAGGAGTGAGAAGATTGGGAAAGCGGTGATTCATAGTAGAGGAAAAATCACACATAAAAACTTAGAGCCACGAGAATAGTGAACATTTATGGAATGAAAGTTATAGTAGTTTGTTTCTCGTAGAACATGCTAGTCAGGAATAATGAAATATGGCACACAGCAAGACAAAATAGGCAGGAAGTGGTCAGCTGATGGAGAACTTGCCATGAAATATGAAAGAGTCTGTATCTTGAGAAGAATGGGATCCTTCCAACGGTTTTCAGCACTGGAGATTATGGACATGAAGCTCAGGAGAGAGGCCTGAAATGGTTGCTAATGCAGAGGCTTGAAGGATTAATGTATTAGTTCATTAGGGCTGCAATAATAAAGTGGATGGTTTAAATAACAGAAAAACAACAAAAACAGTTCTAGAGGCTAGAAGTCTGAGATCAAGGGGTCATCAGAATTGGTGTCTTCTGAGGGAGACTCTGTTCCATTCCTCTCTTCTTGGCTTGTAGATGGCCATCATCTTTTTATGTCTTCATCTCATCATCCCTCTCTACTTGTGTG